CTGAAATAAATAAACACGTTGTTTCGAAATGCAAATAATCGTAGAATGATATCATTAATGAATATCCTATGACGTATAATACATTACAAGAATGTCTTTTTCTAAATCATCAGATACAATCATCAATGATGTAAAGACGTATAAACAATTGTTTAAATTACAAGAGCGTCTTTCTAAATCGTCAAATGAAATAGCAAAATTTTCAATGACATAACGAGGTATAAACATTTTCTTTAAACTAGAAGAATGCCAATAAATTATAAATCGTAAGTAACATGTTTGGCTAATGAAGATGACAAATGTTATTGGGCAATACTAAAATAGCAAAAATAATCTTTATGTAATCACGTAAACCCGACTTATCGAGAGTCATTTCCTAGTATTTTTCTGGAGAGGTTGTTCGACTTACAGCTTAACGAGAGTTTATATATCTCGTCTGACTTATCGAGTGTCGAGTTTCACTATGTAACCTTTTTTTTAAACGTTAATATAAGAATGGATGCCATGTTTTGATAGACAAATCGTGACGTACGTGTATTCCCTAAATTTGGAAGGTGATGGTACCAAATTAAGTTAGTTGCATACTGACAAAACGGGGGCAACTTTACCATATATTTATATTTATATTATATTATATACAGTAACAGCTTTTATGCCCCGATCAAATTTGGAAACGTGTACAAGTAGGGGCATCAGTTCTCAACTCAACAGCCTTTCTAAATAGAGTAATTTTGGGTGCAGATAAAATTAATAAAAATAAGGTTCATATAAAAAATAAACAATTTCCAATTTAGTCAATTTCACTACTTATTTAAGGCAATAATTTCCAAATTTGATCGGGACATCGAGCTGTTGAGAGGCCAAAGTAAATCAGTAATATTATTTATCCAGTAAATAGTTGAAGGCAAGACTTTTTTTTTGGCTTTAGAAAGTTTTTGAATTAAACAAGGATATGTTCAATATAACTATTTATTCAGTCTTTATTCTTGCCAAGCAATTCAAAAATTCAACTTTGACCATGAAAATAGCGTTAACAAATAATTTTACAAGTAATTTTTTATTTTCCATGATTTTTAGATCTTATCGTAAGAGCATTAATGGCGTTGCAAGGAACTTACGATTTTTAAATACCATTCAAGAGACTATTATTTTAGACCCAGTCTACAATTTTTTTGATTGTTCAAGGTGTTTCAATTATGGCGAATAAATGTGTGATAACAATTTTGTTTGCTAACAGTTTATTATTGCTGTAGTCTTTTATAATACTCGATATTGTAGAGTTAGTTACTGTGAACTATTTAATATAAACAAACCACAATTGATCTTTTTGGTGAGAATTGTTGATAATGTCGAGCCAATACATAAGGAAGCGTTGTATACTGTTTTGAGATTAGCCTCGCACTGAGATTTGGTTTCCTCAATTACACTAGATTTATCTGATTCAGTTGGCATCTTTATTTAGGAGGTTTGCGCTCTTTATTAGTTACACTAGTAATGAACGCTAAAAAATAGGTTAAGATATATAATAATAAATAAAACTATAGAAAACACCGTCCGTTCTATGCTTCTCAATTATATTGATAAGGTCTCTCCGTCTACGCCCGTAACAGACATGGGCGGCCGCGACAATAATGTTAATAACAAGTTGTCCTCTGAAAAAGAACGACCGGTATATAATTAGTATTTGAAGGTTTCCAATACTCAAGGGCCGATGGATAGTCGAATCTAAGGAGTCAAATAATAAATAAATTGCAGTACCTTGGGAGCACAAAACCCTGGCAACAAATACCGCTTCGCAATAGCCAAAGTCCGGTCAACATATTGTGCCCTGATATATTAATAAAGAAGTTTAATTTATAGAAACGCTACAATCAAAATTAAAAAACGAGAAATAATGTCTTACCGCACGATAACACTTGTTCCCACAAAGTTTGGGTGCATACTGAAAATGCCATAAATAGAAATAATTTATTTACCATAATCAACACAAAATATGCTAATAAAACAAAAGAACTTACACTGGGACAGCATCCGTGTCGATAACAAACAGCGTGCTGATTATGAGAAAGAATAAAAAAACAATTAATTCCTGATTGTTAAGATATCGATGAATAACAGAAGGGAGATGTTACCGTTCCATAAGGGCAGCAGAAGGTTGAACAACAACCGTGTTTCTATAAAATACGATAAGTTGTTAATACCACATATAATCACATAAGCAGAATTGTAATACCTTAGTAATAGCAACAATAAAATCAAAGCCTTACCCGTGGACAGCATTTGCCCATTTTTGAGCAATAGCCATAACCCTAAATATACACCCAACAAAGAATACGTAATGATTGACTTGTCAATATATTGCATTTTAAATAAATCTCATTGAATATTGATAAAGGATTTTGATGTCACGAGTCTATTTACCGTAGGGCAAGTCTGGTCGTGTTATAAAGAGACATAATTAGTAATGGGCTTAGTAAGTGAAGCACTCAGATCATATGAACTGTTCAAAGAAGACTGATCTTCTCGAACTAATGTTCACAATTAGTTAAGATAAATTTCAGGTAAAGAATACTATACCAGAGCCAGAGCAAGATTCAGACCGTTCGAAGTTGTATTGGCCGGCGGCGTAATATCTGATGGCTGAGACGATTTCGCGTGTATTGCACCATCACTACGTGCAGCACTCAAGACGAGGAATGCAATTATCAATGACACCAATAAATGAAGTCGTTCCATGCTTTGACTGTTAATGAAATGTAAAAGTTTAGACGATTAATTTTATAACAACGTCGCGTGGACAGGAATCAGTTATAAAAGCACATGTCAAATAGTACTGACCAATAATTACTACACAAATTAGTCACTTATAGAATATGATGAACTGAGCAAAGTTAAAATTAACGATTTCTTTGAGAACAGTTTACGATGTTGAGAGAGCAAAGAAGGGCTCTATTTATATCATAAATTGCAAGTAGCCTATACTCAATTCGTAGACATAATGGAGACCTTCTGAGATTACTAGCAAAGCGCGATGTAATGCACGTAATGTTGTACAAGTATTAAATCTTGGCTGTAAAGGAATTACCGCTTAGTAAAAAATTAACAATATCTTTTGTTATTTATAGCACCTGATATAGAAATAAATCGAGCGGCTTAATTCTTGTGTACTCTTAGCTTACCCCTCGTTGTAAACAACATGCTTTCTATCAGTACGATATTTAGGAATCTACCACACATTTGCAATGTAACGCACCTTCAGACAAACACTAAACAAGTAACTTCTCAATCAACTTTGCAATTACATTGCATGTGCAGATCCCAAGAACAAGGATAGCAATTGGAATAAAAGTCTCGCTAACATAGTCTCATTAACCAATTAAGGGAAACTTGTGTTTTGCTTTAGGAAAGAGTTTCGAGATAGAATTTTCGGTGATATATCGATGTCCTACCGACGTTTCAGGTATCGGATATTTGGTTCTTGTTATTGTCTTGACGATATAGGAAACTGTACACAATTAGTATGTTTACAACATAACCAAGTTTGCATCTTCCATTCATCGCATGTATGACAAATATAACAATCCTGTGACTTCAACAACGACAATACGGTATCAGGAGTTTATGCAATTACATTATATAAGCAACTGCGCTTTTTTATTAAAAAGATTGTAAACTAGCACTCTAATCGCCGTTACAGTATGTGGTAACAAGTGAATTGCCATAAGAACAACGAGTATCGATAAATAACAACTTATCGAATATACAGATAATGGGTTCATAAAGAAATTTACACGTTAAGACGCAGACTTATTGTGGAAAAGGTCGTAATTCGGTCGAATGCCGCGTATTACGACGAAATACGAAGATCAGTGAAGTATTTTTAGCTTGTGGCAAACACACAACACATGGTTCTGGAACCTGCACCTAATTAATACGCATGAGTGAGAGTTGAATATGGTTTATTAAGAAACAAGGATTCAATTATTTTAGTGTATATTTTAAGTTATTATCACAGTTTTCGCAATACTGTTTTTGACAATAAATCAAAGAATAAAGTAGATAATACAAATAAAGATTTTACTTGTTCTCTATAATTAAATATCAACTTTACCCCTTATGCTGTTCCGGATCAAGCAAGTCAATTTAGATAACATAAACATTCAAAGCTTTGTGGTAACAAATGTATGGCCGAAGGTAAAAGGCCAAACAAAAACTTCTATTCATTTGCTATCGCTCGAAACTTGCAACCAACCCTATCTTTATTGCGAAGAACGCATCAAAGAATCCCATGCACGGTTCAGAATTTCGGATCTGCGACCGTAGATTTATTCCCTTTTTAGAGCATCGCACCCCTCATTTATAATAATCGTTGCGCCAACTTCTATATAAACTTACAAACTTGGTGTTTTTGCTCTTCATTAATTAATGAATTCGGGGCTGCGATTGATAAAATTTCCCCTTACATTATCTGGCATATCGATCACATTGCGTTTGTTGTACCTCAGTCCAGAACTGAGACAGGTCCCCAACTGAGATAACGGCTGAGTGACTGGGTTCTGTACTAAATAAGATAAGACAGGTCCCGAACTCGGACACAATATTTAAGGAATTCCAAAAATCGCCTAGTGAAAATCTAACAATTATATTTGTTATTTATATTACCTAATATGATAATAAATCGAGCGGCTTAATTCTTGTGTGCTCTTAGCTTACCCCTTGTTGTAAGCAATCGATTCATAACCTGCTTTCCATCAATAATATTAGTAACTACCAACGTTTGCAATGAGCGCACATTTAGACAAACACTAAACAAGAATTCTCATCAATTTTGGATTAAGCTTTGTGACATGTGCAGATCCCAAGAACAAAGATAACTTAATACTTTATTGCAGACTTTCTCACAAAGTCGAATCTTATAACCAATTAAAAGACTTTTGAAAAAAAAAGGTTCGACATAGAGTTTTCGGTGATCCAGGTATGCTTGTTATTGTCTTGACGATATAGGAAACTGTGCACAATTAGTACGTTTCACAACATAATTCATCGCATGTATGACAAATAACAACTCTATAACTTTGTACAATAATACTCGTGTGTGGAATTGCGCTTCTTTCTTGCCGTTACAGTATGGTAAAGAGTGCACTGTCATAAGACCAACGGCGGTAATGACACATAACAACTTATTGAATATACAGATAATAGGTTCATAAAGAAATTTGCACGTTAAGAATTAATTGTGGCCTATATTAAGGAGAATTCGTTCGAACGCATCGCATATGATGACAAATGATTTATTTCACAAAGTAGTATTTTTAGCTTTAGCAAACACACAACACTATCCTGCACCTAATTAATACGCACGAGTAAGACTATAATAGTGCTGGACATAGTTTCTTAAGAAACAAGTATTCAAAATTTAAAGTTGTATTACAGTTTGGGGTACTTGCTATCTAGGAAGAGCAACCTATGGACAACGAAAGTAAACGATCATATTTACTAAACATAATTAACACGGTGACTATGGTAACTTTTTCTCGCATGTAATGACAAATATACGCAGTAAAGTATAACATATGCTATCTTGACAGCCGCAGAAAACCTCAAAAACAAATCAATCAACGATTCAAAGAATGAAGTAAATAATACAAGTAGAGATTTTACTTGTTCTCTATAATTGTAACAATATGTATGGGGATTCTCGTTGCGTAACAGCAAAAAATTGTGTCACGATTTTCCATTACGGTTTAGATCAAACATCTGTTGTGCGACGTAGATCTTTTATTTGAGGATCTATTACTATTAGTTACTTCTAATATTCGCATTATCAATTATCAACATTATTACATTAGGGCAGATAGTCATTTTTATAGAGCATCCCTCATTTAGAATAATTGTTACGACGCCAAATGTTCTATATAAACTTAAGACTAGACTAAATGCTTAGTGTTAGCGCAACAACTATTAAACTTACATTCCGCAGCAACAAACCTTATTAGTATTTTATCTCTTCATTAATTAATAAATTCAAGGTTGAAAGGGATTGCGATCGATGTGATAGATTTCTCCTTACTATATTTGGCATATCGACCACATTGCGTTTTAGACTAAATTTGTCTTTTTTTAATTCCAATCAGTTCTCCTGCACAATTATCGCTAACTGATGAAAGAATTTTTTTACACAATCGATAGAATAATATACCATCTTTTACACAAAAATATGCACCTTTGACCAAAACAATACTATACAGCAATTATGGTCAACTGTATTTAGTCGCTTAAGCACTTTCATAATCGCACATTGCAGTTCACATTGTTGTTGTACTTCAGTTGGGGACCTGTCTCAGTTATGGACTTTAGGAGCAAAAACATTCTTCTCGATAAATTGGAATTACGATGGATTAGGAATGAAATCCTTCAACGAGTTGTTCAAGTAAGTTTTTCTTTGTAAGTTGATTATTGGTTGTCTTAATTTACTGAACAAGCTAAGCCCGAACAAGGTTGGCCATAAATAATCAAATTGAGAACCTTTTTTTTTTGAATAGCTTGTCTATTTTTCATACAATTACATCAGGCTAATTCATTATATTTTTGGGTAGAAAAGTTTCGCTTCGCTATCATAACTTTAATATACATTAATGCTTTTATTAGTATGAACAATATGTAAAGTGCCGACAAAAGTATACAATTAGGTAACATATTTCGCGGGGAAAAGTGAGAATTACAATTTGCAATTTTTATAAATACTCCATCGATACGATTGAACTCACCTCACTTTTTGAGAGTTAAATTCTTGTTACATTAGCAACTTTAAAATGTCGTCTCAGCATTAAAAAACATTACAAGACAAAAAGACTAGACACTGGATAATTTTATTAATAGCCTTTTACAAAAGATGTTTTAATGATATATTAACGGCGTAATTAATCCAATAATAATAAATTAGTGAACAACTTTCGAATTCAGGAAAACTAATATACTCTTTAAAAACAAAAAAAAATTGTTTGTATTGAAGAAAACTTTATAATTTATAATGATCTGCACATCCGGGAATACGTGCATTTGGGTAGAGGTTCTAGTCAGTCGTATTCAGGCGTCCCTACTCATAAAGGAAAGAATAAGCAATCGCCGACTAGACCGATAGTGTCAACAAATTTCCTAACTCAGGTGCAGATACTGTATATGGGCGTACCAGACAGGTATAAATGGTTTTGTAATACACGACACGGAACCATTTTACAAAGTTTTTTAAAAAGTAAGAGTACTAGCGGAATAGCCAAGACATTATACAGTATATTGTTTTCGGTG